TAACGCCACAATTCGAAATGAATATCTTCCACATACAAACACTACGAGGTTGTTTCTGTGAGCATCTTTTTGTGTATTTGGAATAATTGAGAATAAAAGAAAAAACGGAATGATGTTTGAAATCAGCGAACAACAGAACGAGAAAGATGACAAACACGACTACCAATGAGTTCAACCAAAATGAATATCTTTCACTCACACCGGAGCAAGTTTCGTGGCTAGGTGCGTTATTAATTACATTTTTATTTCACTTTTTATTGTCTTTAAACGCAAATGCGTCAATAAATCAGATAGATTTACGTAGCAACAGAGCAAAAAGTACTTTTGCTGCAAAGAATTAATATTTTTGTTGCTGACTTCGAGGCTGGGTGCCGAAAGAAAAGATTGCTAAAGAATTTGGAGCCATGCAACACTACAGTGATCGTACCAAGTTCTGTAGCTCTTGCATCAAACGGAACCTGAAGTGCACACATCCGCCACCAACAATGATGGAAAAGATCAAAGAGATGAGGCGGTCACATACGATGAAGCCATTTTTCATCGTGATAATCACTCTTTTTCATTGCAATATTCTCCGGCATATTTGCGATGAGCCCAGACATTGCGCAGATATGCAAAGCATACGACAGTCCAATTAAACCTGATCGTGCGGCAGCTATCCAGGCTTTTGTCTGTAGCATAGCAAACATAAGCTTTTTGTGCTTAGTGAAATTTGACGGCAAACGACAGTTGTATCTCACTATGTTAACGGAAGCATTTCTTTGTGCCGCCACTGTTGCTGGGTACGGTTTTGTGGTGCTGACGAGTGGATACAATTCATTCGATCAATCGCAGCATTTCTCACTGGAAAATAAAAATCTCGCCTACATTCCATTCATTGCCATATTTGTGTGGAGTTTCTGCTCCTTCTGCGCTGTTAATTTCATGTGTTGGCAGCTGATATCAGAAGTGTTTCCGTACAAGTGAGCCGATTATTCTATTCTTTTTTTTCTTGATTTTTAAATTGAAAATTGACGTAGTTTTTTGAGATGGAATATTCTGCGGAGAAATATAAATCTTTTTTTTTTGTTTTCCAGAACTCGTGGGACAGCGACTGGTTTAACAGCCGCCCTAAACTATGTGCTTAGATTTATTAGCATGAAAACTTATTACAATTTAGAAGTGACGTTCTCATTGCCCGGTGTGGCATTGTTCAATTGCATAATTATAGCCGGCGAACTGATTTTGATGTACAAAACTCTTCCGGAAACCGAGAATCGATCGCTCGAAGACATCGAGATGCATTTTGCTGACAATTCCAAGAAGTTTACCGATCACAAAATTGCGAAAATGTCGAAGCAAAAGATTTTTGAAGGAAATTTGTTCAAGTAAGGCTCCAACCAAAACGGTGTCTTTAAATATTATTAATGACTACAAAAAAAAATTGCACTGAGAATGGCTTCACCAATCCAGAATTTGTTAAAGACCAACAATATGCGAAATTTTGGATATTTCTTCTGACTAGAAGACTGAGGAGGAAATTGGAAATTTCCAACGAATTTCCTATCATTAAAAGACTAAGAATTGAATTCATTGCTGTTCAATTTAAAACGTTTGCCAATTTTATGATTTGCTCGAATAAAATGTATGTTCCAAGCTGTTGTTATTTTTTAAAATACTTAACAAAGTTCGCAGTTTCTTTAGTAACATCACTAAACCGAAGCTGAAGAATTATGCATTGTTTGCAATATATTCGACTTTGTCTTTATATTTGGGTGAGAAATTAAATATGATCAAAATTGCATCATACGGATTTGATACATTGTCAAAAACGTCGTTGAAAACGTAAAAAAACGCCATTCGCTACTTCAGAAATAGCGCAAAACTGTGTTGAATTCCGCTGTAGATCTACGTTAACTAGACACATAGGGCGGCTGGTGACAGTACATTTCGTCACATTTTGAATTGCCGCGCTGTTTAGTTCCAATTTGAAATTGAAAATTACATTGATGTGCCCTTTGAAATTGGGGGCGCTCGCATCGTTCAATTTAAGTTAATTTTTAATAGCCTCTATTTGACTAGACAACATAGTTAACATAGCAAGACCGCGAGCCTGATATGTTATATCAATTAACATAGAGAGACTGCGAGGCGCCGTAACACGAAGACATTTACGTAAATTTATTTTCAAATAAGAGCTGCGTTTCATTTTGTTTTCCTTTGATTGGTTTTGTTTTATTTAAATCTGAATACACCGAGTGTCGGTTGTGCAATGCACAGTGTGAATTTCATGTTGATAACAAACGAATAGTAAAGATAACCTTGAAAATGTTCAAGTTCAAGGTGGATTTTGTCGCTTTCTGCATCGTTTGAATTGTTTATTTATTTAGTTTTTTTTTGTGTAATTGTTTTATGTCAACGTATTTACGTTTTTTTGGTTTCTTTACGTTGATCAAAGTCTTTCTTTCGATTTTATTTTCAATTCAATTTTAACCTCATTTTGGGTATATTTTTCTTCGCTTTATCATTTTTTTCTTCATTATTTTCATTCTCCCTCTATTTTCTCCTGTTCTCCTGTCTTATTGACGCAAAAAAAAGAAATTTGTTGATATATCCTAGTGAGTGTTTTGCACCAATTCATAGAATTTTTCTTTGAACTTCTCGATTCGTTGGCGAAAAATGGAATCTTCTCGTTTTTTTACACTATTTTCTCTACAATTTGACAGCGTTTCGTCGAACTTGCGTTTTGTGGACTTGTACCTGTCTCAAATATACACAGATAGAAGTTCTCAATCAGCTGTTCGAACAATATTTTTTAGCGAATCACCACGATCCAACCGAAACCGCTTTCAAAAAGCGATGCATCATTGATTCGAAGTTCTCTAAATGAACCGAACTCTCGAATGCTGCTAAGAATACTTTGTGTGTCAAGCTCAAGGTGAATTTCTGAAATAAAAGCGAATTGTTTTTGTCGCAGCACATATATCATTGTATTAATATCACATGGTTTGCTTAGCTGCAACTAACAAACCGAAAAAATGTCTATTGGCCGAAAATAGATTGTACGAAAAAGTTGGCGATTTGCGCTCGATACACCGTATATAAGGACTCTGCGGATTGCAGAACATGCCAGTCAGTTGTTGTCTTTACGCGGTTGTATAAATCTTTTATTGGTTGCACTTTTCGTTGTCTAAACAAAAGCCAAGTGAAGCTCAAAGTTGGTGGAAATTTTGAGAAAAAAAAAGTGGAAAAAGTTCAGAACAAGAAGAATTGAAAAGGAAATAAGAGAAAAAAGGAGAAAAGAGAAAAAAAGAAAGAAAATAATAAAAGGAAAGAAAAATTTTTTTTAAAAAAAGGATGAAAAGAAGCACTTTGTCTCATCACTAGTACTATTCGGTTTTACTCATCGTCAACTTTAATGAAATATCATTACGAGAAAAGACACAAACGAAAAACCTCACCAATTTATTCTTTCCGCATCACAAATCTATAATAAACAACATAAAAATAGCTCTAATGCGACTACTCGAATTGGCTAGTGTAACCGACTGATTAGAAAACCTTTCACAATGATTGATGTTGCGCATTTTGTCGAAGAGAGTCCATTTTTTTGACGCTAAACAAATTACCGCAGTGCTGTTGAATTATATCTATTGATTGGATTGAGTGAGCCGAAACAAACATGACATTCGATTCGAGTAGTGAGAAGGATGGCATCAAAAGTGTCAATCATTTTCGACGGTTTCTGTCGCAGGTGTGAATTGAAACGAAAATTTTTACAATTTTAACTCTACATGAAACTGTCTTGGTTATAAATATGTGGTTAAAAGCAATCCATCTAAAAATAATAAATAAATTTTCCGTGACATTTATTTGAAATTTCTGGTGATGTGATGGCGTTAAACGAGTCTTGAGACAAATTCGAACGTCGCGTTAGTGACGCAAAATACGAAACAAATTCACAAATCGTTTGGCATTTTAAATAAATCATTTATTATAAATCCTATCTTATTAATGTGATTTATGGTGCCAAGAAAAACGTGTGCAAAATGAGATGAAGATTTATATCTTGTTCTTTGAAATGTGATCCACGAAAATTGGCGGTTTCGACGAAGTCAGTGTCCACTATGTTAAAAAAAAACCAGAAAGCTGCTGTTTATTCCAACTGTGGTTTTCATGTCAATGCAAGAAGAGAGAGAAGCAAGGAGTTCTCACACTATTTGGATTTGAATATACATTTTGATGCATTAAGTAATCCAATCTAAATAAGTGTTCAAATCCCGACATTTGTTCTTTGAAGCACGAAAAATCATTTCAATTTTCTGTCTGTTCAAAAAAACGAATTATTTCTCTCCCATTTACCTCCTGTTTCCACTCCTTTTGGTTGCGTATGTAGTATGCACAGAGCTTGCGCCGCTCAGAGCATTTAAAAACTATAGTATAAAACGTCGTGTATAAATTGCGAATTTGCTCGAAAAGACATCGATCGTCCATTTTTGGCAGAGCATACTTAAACAATCAGCTGCCAAGTGCTAAGCACTATTTGAATCAATCGTTGATCTTCGGGAAATTCCGTACTTTTAATTGTTGGTACATCAATTGCTCAGATGTGAACTACGTTTACGTAATTTACATTTCAAATCAAGAATTCATACTACGGAAGAAATTAAAGATTTCTATAAGAAGACGGCTTATAAAAAGATCATACTGTTGCCACATACTTAGTCTCAGTGTTTTTCCCTCTCTTTTGACTCGAGATTTAATTGCAGTTTCAAATTCATCGAGAAAATGTGGCGAAAAATAAGGAAATGTGAAAGACTCAAAATATGCACACGAGAGAAATGAAGAAACTAAAGAGAAAACGATTTAAGAATGAAATAAATAAATAAATAAAGAACGACAAATAAAACTGTTACATTGTTTAAAAAGAATAAAAAATTCAAGATGGCAAAATTAAGTGTAATTTATAACGATGAGTTATCAAAAAAAAGTGTCGACTCAAAATTTGAGTCTCAAATACAATTTTGAAATGAATTTGATTCATAATGAAGTCAATTTTACTCAAGAGAATGCTATGAATTTGTCTCAAAGCTTTAATTCAAAGATTTACATGTAAAATTAACTTTAATTCCAATATTCCATGGAATTTCAAATGAATTCACACTCACACAAACGCCACTCAATGACCTACGATACTAAAGTTATTTTAATAAACGATTATTTCCATGACCTACGATATAGTTTGCGGCGACGACAGTGGAAAACATGTTGCAATTCGATATGGGACTGTGTAATTTCTTTCCGTTCATCATAATACCAGCATTGACAGGCCTTCCAAATTGTCACAATCTCAACGAAACCCTTTCACTTACACCGGTTCAAGCTTCTTGGCTGGGTAAATTATGTTTTCGAGCACATGCAATGCGCAATTCATTTTGTTTATATCAACGAATGTTGCATAACTTCCTTATGACTTTTCTAGGGAGTATCGGTTATATTTCCGAGCCAATTGGCAGCATTCTTTCCGCATTGATGACAGGTTTGTTTTGTTTTGTATTGAACAACTAGTTTAGAGTAGTATTTTATTTCAAAATATTCAGATCAGTTGAAATGATATTGCCGGTGCAAATACAACGTAACGAGATAAGGAATCTAAAATTAATAAATTATATTTTTGTATCGCAAACAGACGCACTCGGACGTAAATTTGGTATGATGATCGTTAACATTCCTCTGGTGATTGCCTGGTTCATGATGTACAATGCAAGCAGTATTTGGGAGATTTTCGTTGCGAATATTTTACTAGGCCTTGGAGCTGGTCTCATGGAATCCCCGGTTCTCACTTATGTTGCTGAAATATGTGAGCCATCAGTTCGCGGAGTGATGATTGCTTACACGCATGTTGGATGGACGCTTGGTATGCTGTTTGTTTCAGTGATGAACACATTTATTCCCTGGCGATCGGTCGGTTTGGTGTGCATGTTCGTTCCAATTTTAACAGCGATCGCACTATGTCTCGTACCTGAAACTCCATTGTGGCTTTTATCAAAGAATCGAACGGCTGAAGCTGAAAAATCGTTGTGCTGGCTTCGAGGCTGGGTGCCAAAAGAAGTTGTAGCCGATGAATTCAATGCACTTCAACGTTACAGCGAGCGTTACAAATATTGTAGCTCCTGTATAAAATTAAACCAAACGTGTTCACACCCATTGCCGACAGTTTTCGAGAAGCTGAAAGAATTGAAGCGCAAACAGACACTCAAGCCGTTTTGCATCGTGATGGCACTGTTTTTTATTGCATTATTCTCTGGCATTTTCTCAATGAGTACATTCATTGTGCAAATTTTCAAAGCCTACGACAGCCCAATTCAACCTGATAAAGCAGCTGCTGTTCTTAGTTTTGCGAACAACGTGGGCAATATCATTTTCTTGAGCTTTATTCGCATCACTGGCAAACGAAAGATATACCTAACAATGTTGACTATTGTGTTTTTGTGCTCAGCCATCGTATCGGGATATGGATTTGCGGTTTTGCCAACGGGCTACAACTCATTTGATCATTCAAAGCATCACTCCTTAGAAAATAAAGACATCGGCTACATACCATTCATTTGCATCATTCTGTGGAGCTTCTGCTCGTATTGCGGCGTTAACATCATGCCGTGGCAGATGCTGTCAGAGGTGTTTCCTTATAAGACTCGCGGAACAGCAACTGGACTAACAGCAGCCCTAAACTACATTTTTAGTTTCATCAGCACCAAAACATATTACAATTTGGAAACGACTCTATCAATGCCCGGAGTGGCTTTGTTCAACTGTATCATCATAGCTATCGGTTTGATTTTGATGTACAAAATTCTTCCGGAAACCGAGAATCGTACGTTGGAGGAAATTGAGTTGCACTTTGCTGATAATTCGAAGAAACTCACCGATCGCAGAATTTCCACCATTCGAGAACGAAACGAGAAAGACAATAATCTCAACGAGATAAAATCAATTTCAGTGATTAAGAACGATGAAGCGTTGACTAATCACTATAGCAATGGATTTGGAAACCAGAGATTTTCTGGGGATAATTGAACCATTGAACCAATAGCCTATCGTTTTTTGAAACCTTTGAAAAATACTAACAACATAATATGTTGAACATATCAAACTCAGAGATTGCATATTTGCTGCTGAGTAGGCCTGAGCTGAGCTGAATTTGCTAACTCAGGCGCCTGAAGCGGTATTTAAGCGCACTTGCGGTGCAAAATTGTCGTGGTTCACTGGAATCCATCCAAAATATAATTGATAAACAGCGTGGACTCCAGCGATCTGCGACAATTTTGCACCGTAAGTGCGCTAAAATACCGCTTCAGGCGCCTGAGTTTGCAAATTCAGCTCAGCTCAGGCCTACTCAGCAGCAAATATGCAATCTCTGATCAAACTTGAATTAATCAATGAAAATGAATTTTTTTTAAGTTGAAAAAAAAAACGAAAATTGACCAAATTCGACAATAAAACACACCCGCAATGAGAAAATTTATGAGAGAAAAACTCGCAGGAAAATTGAAAAAAATCTCACAAAAAAAACCCTTCAAAAATTTCTAATATGGAAAAATAGAAAGAAATTCGATTATTCCAACTCTGACTTCTATCGGTGCAATACCGATGCTAGGCTAAATGTGCATTATTCATAGGAATTTGTAAAAAATAAAATAGATTTTAGTTGAATCAGATTCAAAGTGATCTAAACAGCTAGCAGAACCCATTCTCATATCAGAAAAATAACCATTCTGATCTGAACTTTGATTGAAAAACACTTTCATGGAATATCACGAGTAATTGAACATGTTCAACGGTTCATGAAATCTCATGTTCTCACTTCTCATATATCAGACATCTTCCCCAAAACACAGCCAGCCAATGAAGGTTCAACGAACGAATTAAGATAAGAATAAATCTAATGAAAGCGCATTAACAATTAGAATTTGCTGTGATAATTCAAGTAGACTAGAATGATTGCTTTATATTTTTTGTGAAACTTAATAAACGCCTTTGAGCTAATTGCTAATAGAAACACTGTCTTTAGTATCATTGCCTTTTCTTTCTCCTGAGCTTGCTATTTAGGTGGTCGATTACATTTTGACGCGAAACTCAAATTCTGAATTTTATTTTCATCAAGTATATCTATGAACACCTTCTGCGGAGCTTGATTTTCATAAAAATTGCTATCATTGGTAGCCTATCAATAATGAAAAAGAATGAACAAATGAATATTGCAATTTTGCCATGAAGAGAGCATTGAACAAGCAATAGGCACTGTTCAATGAGAATTGAATATTTAAAACGATGAAAAATTGTCTGATACGAGGAGTAAGTACAGTGACATTTCAAAAGGTCTTGACATTTTCTTGGAAATTATTTTTCAATCTAATTTCAGTCGAATTGTTTACATGCTCGCATCGTTTTGCTTACTGCATTGTCTTATCTTCATTCTTTGACCAAACACACTGTAAGTCACAGTCTGTGACAATGTTATTCTCTTATCATTTTTCGTAGTATTGTTTCAAGTTCAATCATTCTCCCATTCAATTGGAGTTGTTAAAATGCATTCAGAACGAAGAAACAGAAGGAATGAAGTAAGTGAAACAGCAGAACAAAGGAGGATAAAGCAAAGAGAAAGGAGAAAAGAAAAAAAATGAAACAAAAAGTAAAAAAAAAACTCAAAAATGTTCAGAAGAATCGAAACAACCTAAGAAAAAAAGTTTGAAAAATTACACAAGCGGCGCGATTCTCTTTGCTCAATAGTTGTCTTAGGTCACTAAACTTGTTATCATATTTAATTTTATCAATTGAACCATGAAAATTATTTCAATATTGCGAAAATAATTCAATTTCGTTGGTAAAATTCAATTTTTCGCCGTCGAAATATTTTTTTTCTCATCGTTCAAGCCATTTATCAGCTTTCAATTAAAAAAAAACTGACGTCTTTGAACTAAGCGAATGTGTTTCTCTTGTGAGCTGATATTTGTTTATACTTTGATATTGGATGAAACGTCAAACTCGTACGAAGTTTGCATGCGTGAAAGAGACGCTAATGAAAAGCATTCCGAAAGAGACACCAACATTTCTATATACAAACACTGTATTGTATTTTGGCGCTTTGAAATCTCTCCACACCGCATCTGTCATACGCTGTGCACCTTCATTGTATTCAATACACAAATTGGCACACGAATCTCGTGCGCACACAGCCTCAAGTGAAAGTGATACAGAGTCGGGTGCTGTATGGTAAATCAGAAGCAGTTGCTGTATGTGTGACGCAGTGAATACATTAAATGATGGCTTTGTTAGTGTGATCGTCGCATATCGTCTCTCTATTGTTTTGCTTCGCGCTATTATTCAGAGAACACAAGTGTCAAATGCACACACCGACGCAGAACCAAAACAAAACCAAACACATTTTTTCATTCGATCCAATGTTCGTGTCATTTTCATTTGTATAGTGCTCATTTGAACGGGACCGATGGATATTTTGGTGTTGATTCTAAATTTCGAAGAAACATCGGTTCATTAATCAATAATTTCGTAGAAATATTTCAGTTTTTTGAGTGATGAAAGAATAAGAGGAGCATTTCGTTCAATTGTGTACGCTGTGAAAAAAGAAGTGCCATAAAAATGCCAGTCATTTTACCATATCGCATCGAATATGCAACCTCAGAGGTTCGATGCAATAAATGCCGTAAGTCCATTCCACGAGACACCATACAAATCGGCATCATGCAACAGGTGAACAAATTAGATTCCATGCAAAGAGTTACAAATTGTTGATTTCGAGTTGATTTTTTCATTCTTTTCAACAAATATAGAGCAAGACCGACGATTGTATGAAGCCCGAATGGTATGACATGGAGTGTTTTCTACAAATTCGACGGCCAGTTTCAGTGGACTTCATCGATGGATTCGTCAATCTACGATACAACCATCAATTGCAAATTCAATCGAAATTAGGTGAGAAAAAATGCTCTAGTTTTTCAAAATTGTTAAAGTTTTTTCCGTGCATTTTTTGTGTTCGCTTTTCATCATGTGTTTTCTCATGTGTTGACCTAACGGGACGTCAATAGGCAAACAGCCGGCATTATATAGAATAACAATCTACTGTGGAGTAAACAATCGCGCGATTCAGTCGTATTTATCTATAAGCAACGTTGACTGTATGCAATAAACAAACAGACTTTATGTCGCACTATCACAGAGATACACACTTTACCAGAATCGCGCATAGTGAGAGTGAATGTAAGAGAATGGAAGAGAACGAAAGAGAATAAAAAAAAACTCAGTTGCTGCTCTCTTTCTATCTCGTTCATGCAAAAAAAAAGTGTCGTTCATGCACATTCGTGTTTCGAGCATGCGGTTTGGAATACAACAAAAACGTCGGTTTGTTCGTCGCACGCGACACTTCTACTGATTACGGTTTCTCATGCCCGGCTATCGCCTAATATATTATTCTAGCGATTCGGTCAGAACAAATACTGCATAATTGAACGCAAAACACTTTTGTGTATTGCGGTTTCATAGCGTACGAAAAATATTTTCAAAAAAAATCGTTGAAAAAAAAAAAACATAGAATTCTCATTGTGTTCAATTAACTCACATTTTTCCCCACAATTTTCTTCCTACATCAGGCGTCGATGTCAATGCTAATGGAATAACAGCGACCGCGCAGCCACTATCGAACGAAGCCGATACCGCATATGCGGCATGGATGGAAAAACAAATGAAATTCCAAAGCAATGACTTCTTCAACATTTATGACCAGCTCAAGAGGCGCAATTCCGTCAATTTTATGGCCACACTGAAGGCAAACAATCAATTTGTGCCAGAATGTTATTCCGAGGTAAATTTTTGGTGGAATTTGTCTCGGTTTTGTTAGATCATACCAATTGATGTGTTCAATTGATTCATTTGTCAAATATTCAAACAATTTTTCTTACAGATTTTAAATCACCTCACCGACATCATATGTTTTGGTGCGTTGGCACCGTGTTCAGTTTGCAAAGACGGCAAGTTTGTGTTGCAAGGCTCCGTTTATCGATGCACCGGGTACGATTCGCCGTGGTCGTCGTGCATCAATTCAGTCAAAGAGCCTCGACGTGTTCCAGTCCAACTGCCGGAAAAATTTCGAGAAATATTGATTGACGAACCAGTGGTTCGCACACGCATTCTTCGCGATGCCATTCAATTCAATGACGACGACTTTGAGTGAGTAATTTTGAGCGATCTTCTGATGCTTTTTTGATGAGTTTATAATTTCTATCGATAATAATCGGTTATTCCCTATTAATCATCAATTTAAAAAAAATTTAGTTAAAAAATTGTTTGAAAATATTTCGAAACTATTTCCACTACTTGTGAGAAGAAAATAACTACCTATGTGGAAGGAAATGTAAATTGACTTGATTTGAAACCATTTGGTTCAAACCAAAAAGTGAGCTAAGGAAAATAGCCAATGCCACAAAAACATGAAAAAAAAATTGTATGAATTTAATCACAAATGAATAAAAACAAATTAAATGCCCTAGAAAAAAAATGAATTGAAGAAAATACATCAGAGAATCAAGAAAAAAATAAACTGATGGCAAAATTGGACCGTCAAGAAAATTTAGAAAAATTCAATAAAAAAAATAAAAAAAAAATAATTTCATTTTCGTCTCGTCTTTACAGGCTATACACAAAGCAACCACTGTTCAACATGGAATTTTTCATAGTCGGCGCTACAAAATTACCACGAAAAGACATCGAACACAAGATTCAGGCCATGGGTGGTAAAATGGCATCAAGGATTCATGGATATTTGGCTGCAGTCATTTCGAATGCCGAAGAGGTGCAAATTGGCGAAGGGATGATAAGAGAGGCGTTCATTCAACGAATCCAGGTGATATCAGATGATTTCCTCAACGAAGTCATGGACCATGATCCAATTGAGGTGATCGCTCGAAGTGATTTGAGCAAATGGGGAAAAGATGTACGTTTTTTTTTTTTAAATAAACGGAAATTATTGCATTGTGTTTTCGATTGATATGATTGATTCAATTGAAAATTTATCTATTTTTCTCAAACAATCCACATTTTTCCTTGTTGTTGTTGTTGTTGCAACATGTTGTCCAAACCACTAATCAATTTTTTTCCATACAATTTAGCCATACGAACGAATGCCCGAACGAAAGCCCGCCGCCACCCAACAGAGCACCACAAATGATCATCCAAAAGCGAATCTTTTCAATTCGGATCCAAAAACTGTGCTCGAATGTGAATATGGAAAAATTTACACTAGCGACAATACTAGATACGAAGTTGTGTTGGACTTTGTCGATATCAGTTCAAACAAAAACACGTACTTCAAGATGCAACTGCTAGACCTTTCAACTCAAGGTGGCAACTCAAGGTAAGACTGTCTGAAACCTGACATTTTTAGAACAATCAAAATTTAATTTGGCAGAAGATTCAAATAGATTTGATTTCTCAGATATGTATTAACCGAGTCATCGGGTCGAACTGGAACTAAATTTGGCAACAGTAAACAAAGTCAATCTTATCCAAATTTGGACCAAGCCACAGCGGCATTCAAGAAAATGTACCTGGAAAAGACGGGCAATGATTTTGGTGCCATCAATTTTGAAAAACGTGCCGGAATGTACAATCAGGTGTCGATTGACAATGAAACACTGACCAAAGTGTGTCGAAACCCGCAATCGGGTGCACCACCGACGAAACTCTCAAAGCCACTGTATGAATTGATGCAGCTATTGTACGGTGATGGCAAGGTGTTCAAATCGACATTGGTGGCATATTGTTTCGATTTGGACAGTATGCCGCTGGGTAAATTGAACAAGACTCAAATTCAGGCTGCAATCAGTCTTTTGGTTACGATCTCATCGTTGCAATGTTCCGAGAACATCAATCAAATAATTGCTGCATCGAATCAGTTCTACTCGATGTTCCCGCACAGTTTTGGTGACCGCCAACGACCACCAGTGATCAACACGTACGAAATGATCCAAAGGAACATTAATATGCTGCAACATTTACTACAAAAGGAGTACAGATACGAATTTCTGACCAGCGAATTGAACATGGAGAAAAATCTACTGGATTTGTGCTACGAACACCTTCAGGACTCGGCCGAAATCACCATGCTAAATAAGGCGTCGGGAATGTACGCACAAATCTGTGCCTACGTACAAAATACACAACTAAAAACGAAGCAACGTTATGTCGCTGGTTTTGACATTGACGAAGTATTTGAAGTGACACGCCATGAAGAACTTATGCGATATCAACAATACGAGAATAATTTCAATCGTCAACTCCTATTCCATGGCACACGTATTTCCAACTTTGTCGGCATATTGACGAATGGGCTGAAGATTTCACCACCGGAAGCCGTAGGTTTTCTTAAAAACATACCTTTAGTGCAAAAGCATTTATTGCCCTCCTTAACGCGAACGCCATCTATTCGGTGAGAACATGAAAACAAACAAAGTGACTCCAGCTGCCAACCGATATATAAATCGGTGGAAATAAAGGCAGTGTATAAAAAATGTGCCAAACAAAACGAACTACAGCGTTTCCTCTACATAGAGATTTTGTTGTATTACAACTCTGTATGGATCAATTTGTTTGTTTTCATGTTCAAACCGAACAGATAGCGCTCGCTTTAGGTAGGACAATAAATGCTTTTGCACTAACCGTATGCTTAAAAAAAATTGAAACTATTGGCACTGTGTTTTTGATTGATATCTTCGATTGATTTCTTAGATTTTCAACGGATCGATCTTCGGCAAAGGTATTTACTTTTCGGACTCGGTCTCAAAATCGGCCGCATACTGTTCATTAAATAGCGGATTCGGACTGGTTTTGCTGTGCGAAGTCGCAGCCGGTATCGCTGACGTTCGATTGAAGCAGGACATCTCCCCGTTGAATCCCTACTGCGAATCTGTGCAAGCACTCGGAAACTACTATCCACATCCACTGCATATCCGATCGGATGGACTTAAAATCCCAAATGGCACACTAATTAAACGCGAACAACAGACGGGCATCACTTTCAACGAATTCGTTGTGTCGGATGTGTCTCGGGTTAAGATTCGATATCTTGTCAAACTGAAATTCAAAAATTAATCGACGGCAGCGCCGGTTATAGTTGCACAAAATCGGTTGTTATTTCGCCACTTTGTCATCAATCCGACTCTAGCTCAAACTCATCGACAAGTTTACATATTGTACATCAATGCAATTGGAATTGTGAACAACATTCAACACCTACCAAATTCAAAGCCAATAGCATAAAACCATGACCATTACATCTTGGAACTGGAGAAAAATTTATTTTTATAAGAAAAAAAAAACTGAACTGAAGAAAAATGTCTGACAATTAAATTCATAGAATGGAAATATCCATCAGAATCATTAGTTATAACTTGCCAATGAGCCAAAACCTATTATTAAAGTATTTGACCTAAAGCGTTGAACTAACGAGAGAAATAAATGCGCTGTTCTTGACTTAACGACACGGTGTTTCATTGGAAATTTTGATTCAAATTCAAATTCTTAAGACAAAAAACACCTTTTTATCGGCCTTCGTCATTTTTCCCCCTCAAATTTGAGCAAAGTTTCAGCTGCAGCAAGTCGAGTTAAGCCAAGTTAAACCAAAGTAGGTCAAGGTAAGTAATTTTCAAACAGTTTTTCACTGAAAAAAGATAAATATCCAAATTTTCACTATGGTTTCTATCCAGCACCGTCTTCAATGCAACTATCAAAAGAAAGAAAACGCTAATTAACGCTATAAATTTAATTTTACATTCGAAAGTGACATTTTTAGCTACGATTTGTTTGAACTAGGCATGTTTAATTCGAGTAAGTATTTTGACACAAGCCAAAAGAGAATTTAAGTTGACAAAGTTCCAATACATCGTTGATGCTATGATGTATCTACTACACCGATCTATCTAAGTGACATATAATGACACGTGAACGCTTCAATTAGTAACCGAGTTTTTACAATTTTATGTTCTCGGTAAAATTAATGAACCATTGAGATAACGATGACGAAATAGGAGCGTAAGAGCAATTATAAATTCTATTGTCGGATTGCAGCTTGTGGTAATTCAAGTAGATCAGACGGTAATGTGTTTTCTGACAAATATGCTTTTGAACTAATAGAAATTGAAAGAAATTTTTTTTATAGTAAATTTTCGAATGCGATGTTTTTGCTGGCCATTTTTACTATACGTTTTTCCAAAGAATGGAAAGCACACAAAGCACCTGAAAAACGTCGAAACAATTCATTTTATCGTTTTATTAAAATTGTTCACACTTCCCATTCACATGTCTGCATACAAAATTAAATAATAAAAATGAAGTGCTCCAATTTTTTTAATATTCATCCCTCGATCCATCAATAAAAAAAGATCTTATCAGATTGTGGTTAAATTTCCATGTTAATTTTAAAACCGTAATTTTTTTGCAATTAAAAATAGAACGTCAGAACACTTTATTTGGCAGACAAATACAATAAACGAAATGTTTGACGGAGAAAGATAACAATTGGGAGCGTGCAAAAAGAGAACAAAACGGAGAAAGTGACCAAATCAGAGAAGAGTCATTGTCATAACGTCGACCGCTGAATACTCACGCAAACCGAACATTAGCTATTTTCAAATAAATCACATTGACACACGTGGATGCGCTGAATTTATATAATTATTTCTGATCCAATTAAATACCAACGCTAAATTGAAAACCATTTCTGTCCCAGATTTATTGTTCAGTTGCACGATGTCAACGACAGAAAAAAGTAACGAGAAACGATGTGAACGGGATGGCAGAGAAAAAGTTGACAAAATCCGGCGATTTTTAGCGCAGGTGAGAGTGTAATTTGGTTTGGATTTAGAGATAAATTTGAATCTTTATTCAAATTCGTTCTTTAATGGAAGATCGGTTCTTTTCCGCCTCAAATAGCTTTGAATTTCTGTTAAAATTTCGAATTCTTCCATTTTTCCATTTTCTCATTCAAGTTCTGCGCTACAACCGTTGAGAATTTGTTGTTGATTGACATGGGTCTGTGTCGTACGTTCCCATTCATCATCATAGCAGCTCTAACTGGATTCCCGAACAAGCACAATGTGGATGAAACACTGTCACTTACTCCCATCGAAGCGTCGTGGCTGGGTAATGGAATCGATTTGATATTGTTTCGATACTTTGTTGACTTGTTTTTGTTGTGTTATTTATAGCAAGTTTTGGGTTCATATCCGAGCCGATTGGAAGTCTACTGTCAGCACTGATCACGGGTAAATATTGATGATCATAAAATTTTCTACTAATGATATCTAATTAAAAAAGTGTCAATAATATTTAGTTGATGAGTTGACATTTTTATTTACATATAACTCTATTTTGGTTTCTGTTTACCCTCCAAAACTATAAATATGCGATTAAATCATGCTTTTTTGTAGAGAATAATTGAAATATTAAAAATCCAAATGCAAGCAAAAATATTGCAGACCTTTTGATAACAAAAATGATCCATTTGATTGAACAAATGATACAATTTAATTTTCGAATCACGTTCACAGATGCGCTGGGTCGTAAGGTAACAATACACGTGGGCGAATCAAGTGATTAAGATCAATTTGCCCAATTGCTCATTCATCATCCATTAATCGCGATCAATTGATCGATTAATCACTTGATCACGATCAATGGAACATGAATGGGCGAATAGGCGAATTGATCATGTCGACAAATGATTAGATAGAGATCAATTGATCACGATTCGCCCACCTGTAGGTAGCAATGATGGTTGTCAACATTCCGCTGGTGATCGCTTGGTTTCTTATGTACAGCGCGAGTAGTATTTGGCAAATTTTTATGGCAAACTTACTGTTAGGGTTGGGCGCTGGCCTTATGGAATCTCCAATAATCACATACGTTGGAGAAATCTCGTAAGTTTTGGGACTTTTCCCTTGAATTTTTTCTGCGAATGAGCATTGAGCGAAATGAGGTTGTCAGAATCACCAACATGAAGTTGTAAACGAGCGAATTCCAACCGGGGTTGGACATTTCGCAAAATTTTCTCCACATATCACCTTATAACTGAATGCAGAAAATTTTGCGAAATGTCCAACCC